TACCACTCATAGTAGCAGAGGGAGAAAATGTAAACTTTTACAATTAGTTTAGTTCTTTAGCTCTTAGAGCGAAGGGCACCGTGACAAGCAGGGTGTGGGGTTTGGAACAGAGCTTCATTTGCTGGTCACTGAGGCTGGATGCTTTTCCCCTGTGAATGCGGAGAGGCTTTCTTTTGGGAGGGAGAAGTCAATTCTGGGGGAGTTTTATGTCCGCAAGACGTAGGGGCCCATAAACCATTATTTCTGATGGGCGAGCAAAATGTTTTACTGAATGTGTCTCCAGATTTCATACCATCAAATTGTACAGGAAAAGTCTGCGTGTCTCTCAGAGCTGTATTTTTTCCCAAGCTGTTTGCAGACTTGGGGGACAATACTGCATTGTTTACCCCATGTTTATTTCCAGAAGGTTATTACGAAATAGGATGTTGGAAATAAGCTCTTTGAAAAGTGCATGTTTGATTCTGGGACAGAAACCTGAAGTGAGGTTTGAATTCCACAACTGATACCCTAAAATAAGTGGGATCTGGAGCGTAAGGATGAGAGGGGGTGGTTGCTTCCCAAGAATGCCTGTATTTCATTCTTTGGCTGTAATTAATTACAATCATTTTCTGAAATCCTAGTTTTTGTAATGGCATTATCAAAATTCCTACAAAGTCCCAGTACAGAGCACCTTTTCTTATGAATTTAACCTCTGTCTTTTCTCTGTGTTTTATGCAAGTAGGAAGCTCTGGTGCTTGCCAGTTTTCATCCCTCTAGTGATTTTGCAAAGTGTAATCATTGTAAAGTGCAATTGCTTAATATGTAGCTCATTCACTAAAGCCCCAAGGATAGAGGCAGTGAGTAATGTGAGTCATTACCAGAGCAATGGAATCTAGAAAGATGAAGAGTCATGCATCAAGTACCAATTCATTTAGTCTTGAATTAAGAATTTAAAAAATTGCTAGTCAGATGTGATTGATATTATCTCCAAGCAAATTAAGTAGTTACCCTGGAATGCTGTGCTGCTACTAATGTTTTTTGGTATTAGAAGTGCTGATCAGTTACATGTTCCCTACTGCTCTGTTTGTCTATCGAGACACTTGCAGACCAGCGGCTTTCCCAGGTGCTGTCTGCGCCTCTCCTTTCCAGGCACTGCATACTTTAATGCCTGAAATTCAGAAACTTTGTCCAGAAAATATGACGAAGTGTTCTGGCCTGATCAGCAATGTTAGGGTTCACACTCGTGTGTTTCAGTCACGCTTACTTTTATTCAGCCATCCAAGTTTCAACCATTTTTTGCTTTTCTTTGTACTAAATCGTATGAGTTGGAATAGATTTCTTCTCCATCTTGTTCCAGCAAGGAACTTTTTGGTCCAAAGGCATAGAATTTGACTGGACAATGTACTATAAATGACTGGAGCATTAACATTTCCATCAACGATCTGAGAGGGTAGTTTGCAGCTTAGTAGGTGATACGAGCTATCTAACTTATTTTTTACATGCTTTGAGATGAACGAGAGCCCAAACCAGCTCAGTGCTACAGCATGACATTGTATGTAGCAGTCTGAAGGGGCACCAAGGTTTAACACAGGTGAAATGACTTACGCATGCTGATAAATCAGGAGTTATGTTTTGCTTCCAAGGTTTCCTGTGGGAACAAAAATGACAGGCTTCCTGAATTACAATGAAAGAAAACCCAAACAACAAAATAAGGCATGTGCTTGGATGTATGTGTAGCTCCCTTGAAGTCAACAGGACTTGGGCAGCACTGCACTAGTTGGGCATCTACTATTAGAGGTACTATAATGTCAGTGATATTATTAGGAACGTGAGATAATACACAATAAATGACTACACCAGTCTATGACAGTGCTTGTGGACCACATTTATAAACCATTGTACTATAAAGTCACCTTTAATTTGTGCACCAAAACCAGACCATAGCCTTCTACTGTGACTTGATGGGTCTTAAAATAGGGGTTATAACCCACAAGTTGTGCTACTGTGTGTTCCCTATTGTCTTTATATGAATTTCTCAAGTCTTTTGGATGCAACTTTTTTATTCTGTGCTTTCTGTAACTATTGAGAAGCCCCTGAAGCACTCACAGTGCTGTTAGGGATTTTCTCCTCCTTTTGCACGGTGCATTGCTTTGCATTGTACTTGTGATTGCCCACCATGCCTAGAATCAGTACAACACATAGCGTGTACCTCAGAGAGTCTCTTTAAAATAATATTTTATTGTTTTGTACTCTATTGCATAGGAACAGATAAGATGTTTAAGTTGGTAGCCTTTGAGCTTTCGGGATACTGCCACTTTGTTTAGGGATCCCAGAACACACTGGGAGTAGTAGTATGTTCATGAAATTCATTACAGGACTAAGTGACCTAATCCACTTCATGGGAAGTCAAATGACTTGAAAAGAAGAGGCTATAGATCAAACCTGGCAATGTGAGATGTCAAAGCAGGTGATGCAGTAAGGAAACAAAACTGTTATATTAGGCCAGAGGTTTACAGGTCACTGGTCTAGAAAAAGTATACATTTCACAGCAGAAATGATCTGTAAGATCATATTCCATTTGTATACCTGATTTTGTTGAGACTTGGGTGTCACCCTTGAACACAGGTATACAAAATCCTTGGGGCTATTACGTTATATGAAAAACTATGATATTTTTTTCCGTTTTCCCCCGTTCGGTTGAGCTGGGAATCCCCAACAAAAGCTGCGAGAAGCGAAACTTGAGGTTTAAGGCTACTACATTCCTTGAAGGTAGCTGCACACAGCAGACTAATTTGGAGAGTGTGAAAAACAAACAAGCTGTGCTTTTAAAGGCAGGCTTTAGGAAGCCCCCCAGAACTGCCCGGTTATTATGAAGCTAGTTTGTGGGTGTAGTGCTCGGCTATAGGACATCTAGATCTTGCGTCACATGCTTACAACTCTTTAAACTGGAATAGATTTACTTCCGTGACTGGCTGCATCCATGCACTCGTAGCCTTAGCCAAGGAAATGCGAAAGCTGTGAAACATATCCCCTCAAAGAAGAAAACCAGTGCCATATCCAGCAGGCAATTCTGTGTTCCCAACCAGGAGAACAATCTCCCTAAGACTGGAGAACTGTAGGAAGAGGTCTGCAGAAGGTAGACACTAAGGCAATACATGGAGATTTTTTCACAGTACCTATCACATTGCTTTCAGGCCAATGCACATTTTCCACTATTAAAACTAATAAATCGGGAAAAAAACAATGTATGTAGCTAGAAGATTTGTTGTCCATCAGTGATTGCAGTGGTTATTAACTGTCAACTCACTGTTCTTTCAGTCAACACCAACAATAAGATGTAGTCCTTTGTTTCTGTAAGATTGTACATATATGAGTTTTTTGGTTGGTTTTTTTTTGTGGAACGAAGTAGTTGGTTGGTCCAACACAGAGATTTGTCATGTGAAAATTACTTTTGGTTTAATTGTTGTATGTTGAAATGCTGAGATTTTTTTCCTTAATTGAGCAGTATTTTGTGATTGTTTACTACTAGTAGTATGGCGCATGTAAAAAGAAAAAAAAAAAAAACAAAATAGAACAACCAAACAAAACACACACAGTAAAAAAGCCACAAAAGAATTAAGCCCTTCCCTTTCAAAACTTTCTTTCCTGATGCTAGCGTCTCTGCTCAACATTTCACTCCAGAAGACTTTTTGTGTTAAGTGGTACTAGGGAAGGATGTCTCTTCCTCAGTGTCTAACTTGTATGCGTGCCTGTTGATGGTGGATAGTTGATAAGGGGCGACTGCCCATCACTCTGAAATGGCACAGTGTTGTCCTGATCAAAGTGTCTAGTTGTGCCAGAATCAATCTGAAGAGTCTTAAACTGATTTGTATCTTTTCTAACTGGAAAAGCTATGCATTGATAAGCTGAAGGGAGGCTTTAATGATGTTTAATAGATACAAATCTCTAACAAAGCTTTCTTTGATTTAAGAGTAACTTTTTATGTTTCATTTCAGTTGGTCTCTATGCCGGTTTGGAAATCCTATGTGTGTCTAGATGGGTTTAACAATGATTTATTGTTTTAATAATAGATAGAAATCCAACCGGTGCAACTGTCCCAAATGAGACAGTTTGACTGCAGTGAGGCAAACCCTCCTTTGTGAGTATTTCTTGTCAGAATCATGTTTCTAACAATTTGGGTTGGGTGATTCCTTGCCAATATAAGCTTTATCAATACAAAACAGTCAGTGAGAATCTTTCCATCAATAAGAGTGTTTATTATCATCTTGCATAAACAGGATCAGTTCTGTGTATGAATTGGATATGCTGGTTTAAACCTGCTTGCCACGGTTCAGCTTGGCTTGGTTACTCAGGCAGGTACAAGCTGAATAAATAGAACCAACGTTCAATTCCTGCAAAACAGTTCACATATAAAGTGCTCTGGAAAAATGAGTTTTAATTTCAAACCAGCCCAAACAATCCTTAAGTTTCCATAACAGAGTTTTCACTGGTATCAGTTAATAGACTTTAAAATACCACAGGTTAGTGAGTGAAAAGGACTCAGTACAATCCGTGAGTTGCATCCGCTTACTGATGTAACCTAGCCTATAGCTTAGTAACGGATCTGGTAACATTGATCCTCCAGAAAATAGCTTTATTTGCCCACTTTCTGTTTCAAAGTCAAAGGTGGTGTACTGGGTTGTCTTAAGGCAGTGTGCTATAAACTGGTAACTGGTCCCTCAGCATCTCATTGCTGCTGGTGCACTCACAGCAAGCATGAAAGGGCGCAGGGAAAAGGTTTTCTGTGCACTGTGGGACATACATGGTGGCTTGCAGGGACTTGCCTGCTCCACACCTTGACTGGCAGCTCTGACCTGCTGGGGAGGATGAAGCCCCAGCAGGTGCCCTGCTTAGATCTGCCCTTTGTTGGCTGAAGGCACGTTCCCTTTCTTTTTTGTTTCTTAGGAAATGGTTGAAATGCTTTGTCAGTCTCTCTGCACCTCACTGCTCCCGGGTGCTGCGGCTTGCTGGCTTGCCCTGTTTCAGGCCACCAAATATTTGGGTTCATCAGGCCGGAGTTTCATGACCTTGTCCACGCAGAGCAGGATGAGAGTCAGAAACCAGAGGCTCCAGCCGACGGCCGCTGCAATCCATCCATAATCGTCCACGCTTGTCGGGCAGCACATGGCCGCTTGCGTGCAGAAGTTCATGTCTGGTGGCAAAGAAATGAAGTGAGCTGCCGGGAGGCTAAGTACGTAACAGGTTTCTTTTGCTAGAAGGCAGATGAGACAGTGACTTCACTGTCTGTCCTGTGGCCTGTCAGTCTGCCTTGGCATCTTTCCCCTAAGCCTGCCTCTTAACCTGGGGGATGGCAATATTCAGTTTCATCTGTACGTCTTCAAGGCTCAGTCATCCCTGTCCGGCCAAATATCTGAGCTGCTCCTCTTACCACTGTGCCCACCATTACGGAAATCTTTTAAAACATCAACTTAGCATCTCCTCAGTCAGTTTTAGGAATGGAGTATGATAGAAGTAGCTAGTTAAAATTAAAAATAAACTCGGGGTAGAGAAACCTTCATGTGAGAGAGTATGAGGATCTCTAGCAGAGACACCTTCAGCAGGATCTCCAATAGTTTAGGTACCCAATACATCTGCTGGCAATAGAAGCAGTGGCTGCTCTCTGCTGGGCTGTTAACTGTGACTTGCATGTAACAACTGCAAAACATGCCATCATTGGGGGATCCCTGTTTTACGTGTTTAAAAATGAAATAATTTTTCCAATTCCATGTATTTTTTCTTGCACCTTTTGCATCTTTTTCTGTTTAAATCAGTCCAATTTCCTGAAGTCAGTTAAGTAATATGTCATTAGTTGTTTCATCTATGCTGTTATTTAAAGGCATCTGCCATACTTTTTCCATCACAAGGGCACAGTGAAGATACCCAGCTCTGTGTCTGCATCCTGGGTGGTAACGTGGAAATATCAAAGGGAGCCTAGAGGGCCATGGTATCTCGACCCCTTGGGTTGGAATAGAAGCTGAGCGTGAAACCCCAGCATCCAGGAGAGCTGAGGCAGCCAAAACCACCTTGCAGCTACATGCATAGTGTGTTGATGAGCACGAAACCTGTCAGCTGTGAAAAGTGAATGCCTCCTGAGCTTGGTGCAGGGCAGCCAGCCTCTTGCACCATGCCAGGGAAAAGGCAAGTGCAGGTGCTGCTCAGTTGCTCTCATACACGTCTGTCAGGCAGGACCATGTTCCTGTGCATTGACCTACAGTACAGTTGTCCTGCACAGTAGAGAGCAGCTCTTCCCACAACAAAAGAGACATGTTTTGTATGTACCTAGAGAAGGGGGAGGGATGCCTGCTCCCTATACCCATGTCATGCTTTGAAGCAGCATACCTCTGTTGGTACACGTACTATGTTTCGGGAAGTGCAGGACTGTGGAGATGTTTGACATTTGGGATGGAGGATGACTCTGGGAGGACTGGTGGGATCTCAGGTTGCCTGGGACTGGCTGTTTGGGGCAGACCTGGTGGGGCAGGGGAAAGAGGTGCTCCCGGGAGTCTACATTGTGCCTACAGGCAGTCAGTCTGGCAGGGAGCTTTAGGACACACAAATTGAATTAGCTATGAATTAGTCTGTTCAAAGCTATGAGTCCATCTGAATGTACCTAAGATATACTGGGCATGCCAATGGAGGAGTCTTAGAAATGCATCCTAGAGTTTCACCCACAATGGAAGCCTTGACAACAGATAAATCCTTTTCCAGGACAGCCTCTCAGTCACCTGTGTAGTCTCATCACCTGGCTTTATCATGGTAGTAACGATTTATGAAGACTTACTAAGACATGGTGCTTCGTACTCAGTTGTGAGCATGGAGCTTGTTGAAACATTGGAGATGTCTTCAGCTGCTGCCAGAAGGAAAGCACAGGAGAAAAGGCAAGTTGGATTAGAAAAGCAATACTAGGCATCAAGCATGAAAATCTGAAAGCCATTGGCCTTGTAGAGGTCTGTAGGATGGAAACAACTTGGAGAAAATAAATTCCTGCCCCTAAACACTGCTGCATCAAGGTGTGCTTTCACACCCCACCACTGTCAACACAGGCTTAGAGAGACCTGTTGTAGCACCAGCCATAAGGAGCAGTTGGATCACTGTGCCTCTACCTGAGTATGACCCTGGTGTGAGCCATTCACTCAGAGCTCAAATTAGCCACCATCCTTTCCCAAGCTACAGGGGCGGAACGAGCAAGGACTGAAATGAGAGAAAGCATTCAGTGGTGTGGGGAGATCCATGGCCAGCGAGCAGTACATCTACCTCTTTTTGCCCTTAGAAAAATCCCAGTAACTCTGGGGTATGAAGGAGACTGGCTGAGCCCATCAGCACAGGGCCTCAGCAGATCCACCGTAGCCTTGGCGGGAAGCTTTGGCTTTGCTGCAGTTCAGGCACAGCTGTGGCTGAAATTGTTCTGGCTGGGCTCCAGTTCAGGCCAGTACGAGCTCATTAACCAGCTCAGGTTGGAAAATACAACATACAGAAATAAGTAAGGGAGGAAGGGGCCAGGGGCTTCAATGAAGAAGGTTTTGACTCTTTATCCTGCTTCCTACCCAGAATTGGAGCACACTTGCACTCCGGCACAGTGCTGGTCTCCAGCCCTCCAAATCTGTATATGGTGTCACAGGCCAAAGCCTCCTTAGACCTCCTAATACCCTCCTTGCCCCTCAGCTTCAGCGTACACCTCGCAGTACTGCAGGATCAGATGCAAGGACAGCTGCAGGACGTCTGTGTGGGAAAAGCACAGGCTGCTGTGGTCCCTGTGCATTACCACCAGCCTGTCCCCTGCTGCAGAATGAAGGGAGTCAAAGAAATATCTCCTCCTGTGCCACTACGAGCAGTACAGTTTGAGTTCAGCCAGGTGAAGTATCCCATGCTGATATGGTCCCCTGCAGAGATACATGAAAAACACAGCCTGGAGAGACTACAGGAGTAAGGACTCCTGCTGCACGCAGATGGAGGGGCTCCAACGTGCTACCTCATAGCAGAGGCTATGAGAGAGCTATTTCCAGTCAAACCACCACTCTGAGCTGGCAATTTATTTGGAATGTGATAGAAAGAGGAAATCGGTTCCAGCTTGATTTCACTGAAGACTTCAAAATAATGGCTCAGCTTTGCTTTCAGCTCAGGAAAACAAACCAGAACAAGACCTTTGACCAAACCTTTGCTTTGAGTTTGGTATTTTCCAAGTAACAGCAAATAAACCGAGGTTGTCCTGTGGGAGATGTCCCCCTTGGGGTCACCTGCTGTTGGCCAGCTTTGCATTTTGAGCTGACTGACCGTCAGCAAGACCAGAGCTTTCCTTATGGTCGCTGCCATGCTGGGAGCGGGTCCACGGGCAGCCTGCTTCAGGGAAGGGTCTGAGTACTCCCCATTCCTCTTTCTGACTCTGCTAGGACTTGCTGAATGACCTTGGCCAAGCCCATAATTTGTTTTCTGGGTTAATAAGTACCTCACAGGAGCACTGGAAAGAATCATTAAGACCGTGCATGACCTGTGGAAGAAAGTGCTGCAGAATGCCGAGTGTTCGTTCATGTTTATAGACTTTGCAGCCCAAAGGACAGGCTGTCAAAGCTATCCCATCTTTAAACATCTAGCAGGTCTCAGCTGGTGCTGATATACAAACGCAGGCAGTAGCCTGATGGGAAGGGAGCAGCTCACAGGTCTCATTTACATTTTTTTTTTTTTAGGCAACATCTCCAATTAAGGGGGCACCAAAGGCAAATTTCCTGCAAAAAGCACCTAATAAGAGCTAAACCGGACTACAGTGAGCCTCTTGGGTGGTATTTCAAATGGTCCCCTGCCTCAGCAAGCACACGAAGGCCAAGTAACTGTGGTCCCCTACCTCCTTGCTATTCAGTGGAGCAACCTGCAACCCAGTCCCATTCACAGCGGATCTGTAAATAGCTGGCAAAAGCACATCTCTTCAGAAAGATGCTGTGATCAATCAAGTCAAGTAAGTCTCATTAGCATTAATCAATCCCAGCTCTTTACACTTTTTAGATGAGGCAAGGGAGCCCACCTTGTTTTTAAAGAACAAATTACTGTCAGTGGGCAATACATTTAGATATTGAGAGGAGTGGGGGAAAAGGCAGGATATAGAAACTGGAGCATAAGAGAAGAGAAATACCTGCTGAGCAGGAATACCGGAGCACAGTGGCGAAGAAGAGCACAGCAAAGGCTGCCCAGGGCTCGCTGGAGAAGTGCTTCATGCTGGGGGTCCAGCTCCCACCCGAGTGGCCGCACAGATCAGGTCACCGTCGCCGGCAGCTCTGGTTCAGCAAATCCTCAACAAGCTCAGAGAGCTGGTGTGCAGGGCAGAGGGTGGAGCAAAGGAGCTTCCTGCTGCCAGGACACCTTGAACTTTCCTGCCACAACAGGGTGAGGAAAGAGAAGGGCTCCGACCAAAACAGCTCCAGCAGGAGGTGGATACCAGTGCCGAGGCAGGTGGAGGGCCCCTGAAGGCCAAGCCTGAAGGTTTCTCCCCAGGATCTGCTGCAGCCAGAGGGAGGAAAGGCCTCCAAAGCCAGCCCTTCCCCACAGGGTCCCAGGCAGTTTCTGTCTTCTGAGTCTCCTTTTGGTCCTGCGAAGATGGTCTAATAGATTTGGAAAGGAGCAGAGGATCAGGGTAGAGAATTTGTCTTCCTGTTTGGCTTTGATTTTGCATGGTTGTTGGCTTGACTTCCCCCCCAAAACTGCCCAGCAGTGATGATTTTCTGGAAGGGCTGTGTGGAAGCCTAAAAAAAGACAGTCTTTGGTCACGCTAATACAGTAGCCATTGGGTTAACACAGGCTATGGGATGTTTCGACCGAGAAATGGGATGATACCAGTTGCTTTGTGTAGGCTACCAACAGCTATTACACAGTAACAATGGCCTTTCCTTAAGGACCTGTGTTGGGTTATGGGTTGGGATCAGTTCAAGCTTGGGGCCTCTCTGCACAGGAGAAGCTGTTGCCATTCTTGCCCCGTGAGCACAGCCGCGTCACTGCCTCCATCACCCATGTGCAATGTGGTGCTGAAAGAGCATTTTTTTTCTCTTCTTGTAGCTATGCCACCTCCTCCATGACATAGGCAAAGCCAAGAGCTGCTCCCTCCCACCAGCACAGCTCTATCTGCAGACCAGGAGGGTTGCTGGCAAAATAATATCAGCTGGAGGGCAAGATTTTTTCTGCAATCCTGGCTGGAAGAGCCACACTGTTGAAGTGCTTATGTTGTTGTCCTGGTCTGACGAGCACTGCACATTGCTGCTGTTCCCCAGACTGTTGGCTCTGCTTGCTCCTACCTTTGACCCACCACGATGTCCTTGTTAGAGAAAACTTCAGGCATTAAATCGGGCAGGAAGGCACTGGGAGAGGTGGGCTCAGCAGGGAGCAGGTTGGTGGTGCTGTTCAGCGGTGGTCACTCATGGCTTCAGGTGCTCATGTGAGAACGAAGCTGTCTGGGGCCTGTTCGGGATGTGTAGCCATCCCATGGGAGGTCAGGAGGAAGGTCCCTGAGGCAGCAATCCTAGTAGGATGGGTAGTATCTAAAAATTTTCTTGTTTTTTCCCTCCACACTGCTGAAACCCGCAGAGATGGGCGTAATAGACTTCCCACAGGAACTGCGGTGAGCTACATACAACAGGGTGCTGCTGTGCAAAACTATGATGAGGTTTGTTTAGTTTCCCTTTGTTTAAGAAAAAGTTTGAGGTCAAAACCCATGTAGGCTTAGCCCTGCCTGGCATTTCTGTGGGGTGAACCTGCTTGTCCTCCCCACTGGCCACCCCCCACCACTGAAAACACTATGCTCCCCTCCAGCTGTGAGTATTTCCACAATGCAGCAGGACCAAGCAGCCGGAGGTTTCCCCCAGAGAGAGGGCACACCGAGCCGCAGATGAAGGCAGGCCAGCTGAAGCAGGCATGTTTATACCCATCTTGTCTCCCTGTTTTCATGTCAACACATTGCCGGGGCTGGTGGAGTTAGACCTGTGCTGGCCGGTCTGTGACAGCCACCTCCTGCTGCTGCGAGTGTGCGTGGCCCTGTCCTTCGGCTGGCACCCAAGGGGCGGCCGAAGGTAAGTCATGCTCGGCTGGCAGCTCTGCTGGTGTGTGACTCCAGCCGCCATCACTCTTGGCCTTGGTAAACATGAGTCACGGCAGGAGAGATGCTGTAAGAATGCTCTGACTGCTCAGAGTTGCTTGAGATTAGCCCATAGGTTAATCTTCATCTCTGCCTCATTTCAGTGTCTAAGTCCTTTCATGCTAGTTGTCTTTAATTTGTGTTTTTATCTGAGTGCTTTGTTGCATCAAAACTAAAACTCAACTCTACTGGGGAAAGGCCCTCCACTTCCTTCACGCTTCACCTGTTCCTCCTGAATTTCTCACCCATGATTCCTGCTGAAAGTTGACCTGGCAGTTAATTTTGCAAAAATAATGAGTACAAAAGTGTTCAGTGCAGCACAAAATGTTTGAGTGGAAAAGAAAAGACAAAGCTGCTCTGCTATTGTGTGAATGATTCAATTTGTAATGAAATGTCTTTTGAATTTTAACTATTACCTAAATGCTCTTTGTCAGCTTGCAGGTAAATGTGCCCGTTTCTAAAGGATGCTGAAAATGTTTTGTACAATTAACATAATGTATTTCTTTTCCTTTCCAAAACACATTCCCTCCGTGGTTCAGAAAGGGCCTGCTCCAAAGCCTCCTGAAGCAGTGAACCGGCTGCACTTGGCTTCAGTGATTTTTGGATCGGATTGGAAATGAAGGCTTTGCTTGATAAGTTCAGACACAATGGGACTCCTGTAAAACCATCTCCTGACACAGATTTGGATTTGTTTCATTTCTTCTGTGTAACACATTCATATTTCAGTTCTGTGACTGCCCGAAGAGCGGTAAGACTCTCCAAAGCCTTCCCCTAGCTTGGTTTCTATGCATCGCATGAACGCCTATCTCCACTGGGGTGCCCTGGCAGGCGGGGCACCGCTGCAGCACCAGCAGAGATGGGGGCTTCCTTTCCTCGGGCTCCCGTTTCCATGCAGTTCCCAAGGCAGGACTCCGTTTGCTCTAAAATTAGGTACTTCCCCACCCCTCCCCTTGGAGACTCTCCCACGGTGTGTAGCGCTGCTGGTCAGCTTTTCCTGATGATTATGAAGGAGGCAATACCTACCGTTTGGTATATTTTGTGCCACAGAGAGCACTTCACAGTTAAAGTTCTCTGATGACCAAGGTATTACGCTTGACACATCGCCACCAGGTGTGGCTCTGAGAAAGTTGTTACCTTTATCACACGCGTACGCACAGATTTGGATTTGTTTCATTTCTTCTGTGTAACACATTCATATTTCAGTTCTGTGACTGCCCGAAGAGCGGTAAGACTCTCCAAAGCCTTCCCCTAGCTTGGTTTCTATGCATCGCATGAACGCCTATCTCCACTGGGGTGCCCTGGCAGGCGGGGCACCGCTGCAGCACCAGCAGAGATGGGGGCTTCCTTTCCTTGGGCTCCCGTTTCCATGCAGTTCCCAAGGCAGGACTCCGTTTGCTCTAAAATTAGGTACTTCCCCACCCCTCCCCTTGGAGACTCTCCCACGGTGTGTAGCGTGCTGGTCAGGCTTTTCCTGATGATGGTGTGTAGCGCTGCTGGTCAGCTTTTCCTGATGATTATGAAGGAGGCAATACCTACCGTTTGGTATATTTTGTGCCACAGAGAGCACTTCACAGTTAAAGTTCTCTGATGACCAAGGTATTACGCTTGACACATCGCCACCAGGTGTGGCTCTGAGAAAGTTGTTACCTTTATCACACGCGTACGCACTCACTTTGTGTGTGTGTATATATATATATTTTTTCTGTTTACGTAGGCAACATGTTTATATTTTTAATTCCAAATGAAAGCTGATTGCTGCTGCAATCCTGTTCCGTCCCAGCAGTGACCAGCATGATGATAACTGAGCCGTAGCACGGTATTTAACTCAGGGCAAAACACACAACCCATGAGAGCACAGCAGAGCAGGCACATCATCTCTGGACATATCAGCGGTAAGAGGACAAATCCCTTTGTTCCGTACGACACTCGAGGTCAGTTTAACTACACCCCTACTCTTGTCTCAGCATACCTGAGGTGCTATTCTGCTTAGCTGCTGCAACAGGAGGGAGCTTTGGTGAAAGAGAGCTCACACATTAACATCACGTGTAGCCACACAAAACCTTCTGCGCGGTGGAGCTAAGCATGGAGGGATTATGGCTGAGATACTGATCCCAGAGCCTCCTACAGCTGCATGAAACTTCCCCATGCTGCTGAAAGTGATGACAGCCTAGCTGGAGGGGTTGCGTGTTTGGGACACCCCTGAGCTCTGTGTGTTGGCACACTGAAGTTGATAATAAGTTGACAATTCCCAGTTACTATTGACAAGGGCTCTGTGCAGCCTTTGAGGTCATGGACCTAAATGCCAAGGAGGATGCTGGGTGGTCTGTGCTATCGGTGAGACCGCAGGAGTGGATCTATCATCTCCTGTGTTTGCTTTGTAGGTAGCAAAATCTCCAAGTGCAGCTCTAGAAAAAGTGTCTCTTGAGAGGGCAGGTCTGTCTGTTAGCAGCCCACTGTCTGTATTGCAGGGTGAGCTCCCTCCCAGGTGGCCTTTACAAAGCTCCAAAAAGCTTAAGGGCCTTTATAAAGCCCTCAAAATGACTTTAAAAAGCTCAAAACCTTAAGCCTGATGCCAATAATGTGTCCATCGGAGAGGGGGCCGTTTTGTTTGGTATCTTCATTGATGTGAAAAATAGCCGTCTAAGATAAAGCTACCTATGAACAGGGGATTCGATTTTTAAAACTAGACAAATGGAGGAAAAAAATCAAAACCACAAAGGTTTTACTCTTTAAATGAAAGAAGGGGAGAGGGGATCTGCTTTCTGTTGCACAGAGGAAAGCAGCTCTAGCATTTCTAATAACTCCATAACCGTGCCCTTTGTGTTTTCCAGTCTAAGCTGGGTTTGCTATTAGACAAATGTTGAGCCTGTGGCCCTGCTGTGACCCCATGCTGTCCCTCTGGAGATCCCAGCGAGGGAGCCCGAGACCAGCAGGCTGGGTGGCGCGGGGCTGCCTGAGGAGGGCTGCCTTCAGCTCGCCCAGGCAGAGCTGCTGGCGCCGACAATGAGCCCGCTGATGGGGCTCCTCTGAACGACGCCTCATCATCAGCTGTCATCATCTGATTTTTAATAATAAGATTATTATAAAATAATG